AATCAACATTTTTTTCATATTAATTGGTGAATATTTTAAATGTTTAATAAAGGGGCAAAAAATCATAAACAAAAATCTGAAAATTCGTCTATATTTATTTTTTGCGCAGCATTTGGTCTGTAGGCTACAGTTCAAATTCAAAATTTGTTGTTCAACTTTGCGCTTTAAAAATACAACAACCGTTCATTTTTCGTTTTTCAATTAGGCTACGGGTTAAAAAAGGAAAAATAAATGGACGCAAAAGTACACAGACCGTTTGGACAGAATACGAGACAAAGTTCTTTATTAAATTCATAAAAGAAAAAAGAATTGCAGGAATACTGGATTCTAAACCTCAAAGAAATGCCACAATCAAGACCTTGGAGCAGAAATGAGGGAGAAACACACAGAAACACCTCATGTGCCATTCACAGTATTAGGGTCTTTCCTTACCATTAATGCTTGGATAACACACTGTAAAGTATGGACTAGTGGTTCTTTTTAGGATGGGAACACTACAGAAAGATTCCGGCCAGAGAATCCTTTATCATCTTTATTTCCAAGATCAGGATGCCAATATACAAGTTTGTATAATTGAGTGTATGTGGTCTAAACAGAGAGAAAGAAAAAGAAATAATACAATGGTAATAATAACCGATTAATAAACAAATAAAAATACTATTCTATGCTCATTGTCATCATTCACAACAGTACAGTACAGAAAATAATAATTAACATTAATCCAGTGTACAGAATATGTCACTATATGCCTTTAATATCTGTACTGATGCACCTTTAAGTGGCTATGCAGAATGACACTATATCACTATAACACTCGATGCAGGTAGCACCAAATAAACAGTATAAATACACTGCACTCACACTGGAAGCATATTTCTAAATAACTAACACAAATAAAGTCTAAATCGATATATAGAGGGCTAATTATTTCACACAGGAAACATGTCAATATTACAACACGCTCTGGTATCATGACTACACTATTTAGTCACGCAGTTCAACAAATGAAACTAGTTCGCATGAACATACATAAATTTCACAACATTCCTTACAACGCAGTATAAACATACAACAATAGTAGGAACTTACTTGTTTTTCATAAAACGCACACAAAAGTAAAGAAAGGGGTCTCTGAGTCTCCTCTCATCATCACTGAGCGCGAACAACTGAGGCGCGCGCGTTGGATTTTCTGTCCAGGCGCAGTTCACGTGATGGAGCGTTCGAACGCACTTAGGAAACCTCAGCGCTGAACAAATAGGCTTTCAGACACACACCACGTCTCCTTCCATTAATAATACTAATGTCTAGTGCGGTGGCTGCACGTCTATTCACATGTGCTATAAACCTACAAACGTCCAAAGTCGCATAACATCGGTTAATGGAAACGCCGTCATTTCGCAATAGTTTTTTATCGATATTTAGAAAAAATCGCAAAAGTTTTGCGCAAATCTGTAATGGAAACGCGGCTGTTACGCTTGCGATTAAGTTTGTCCAGTTTAACGCAGCATCATCCTTGTATTGTAACTATCGTTACATTATGAACTGCAAAAGCTTTTTTTTGCATCTATGCGCGATTAGACTAAAGAGAACGCTCTGTATGTGAATGTCCTGATGCACACACTCATTCATTCATTCCATTCCAATGATGCACACACGACGCGCAGAAAGACGCGCAACAGTATCGTGTGGCCAGACAGCGCGCCGGAATGGAATTCTCTTTCGCACTTGAACAACAATAACACAAACCATTATGCCAAAATCTCCGACTACGGAAACCTGTTAACTCAAAGGCGCAGTGCTTTCTTGCAATTGGGTCGGTTCATGTTCACACCGTAAAGGAACTGTACCAGAGTTCGTTTGGAACCGTACCGAGACCACCTCTTCAGCTGGGTCTCGGTTCGGTTGTTTGGTCCGCACCCGAGTTCGATTGCTGTATTCACACCTGCCCAAAAGGTCCGCACCAAGGGGGAAACGAACTAGAGTTCGATTCAATCGAACCAAACAAGGGAGGTGTGAATACACCCTAAAATACATTTTATTATTAAGCAAAGTGCACATTAAGCTATAACGGCACATTTAAAATGTATAATTAAAAACATACATAAAATAGCAATAGCATTTTTTGCATGTCCTCACAAACTTTACCATGCAATATAGGGTAGGCCTAATGATTAAAATCCTTCAGAAATCTTATTTTTGTCGAATTGTTGTGTGACTTTATATCTAATTTATGCTTAAAGGTGCTCTATGTAACTTTTCTACTAAAATGAATCCTTTTTTATTGCCTGTGTGTGAAGGGGTTGTAATCACACATTAAAATGATCCACTTGTCGAGTTTTGCTATTACCTCTGAAGGCCAGTATTCCTATTTCTATGTGAAGTCTCCGGCTCGGATTTACCGCGAAATCCAACGGATGTGACGTGCATGCGCGCTCCCGAGCCTCTCTCCTCATATACAGTCTATTGTAGACGGTCAGGGAGTTACGTCCGGTTAAAGGCGCACGTTTTTCGGCTTATATCTCAGTCAATCTTTGATAAATATTCCCAAGACTCTAATCGTTCGTAGTGCTGGACGGGGCCTTTCGAACGAGCCCACCCGCGAGGTCCAACTCGCCCGGCTCCCCGAGTTATAGCCGTTCGAAATCGGGGGTCCCAGCGAACGGCGATCCGGTAGGGGGCATCCCCGAGGCCCGCCACTCTAGCGTTCGGGCAAGGGTTCCCCTGGGACCTCCTCCCCCGAATTTGAGCTCTCTGGGTCTTTGCGTTCCAGAGATACGAGCGATTTTCTCCTGAGATCGTGACGTCACCGGCGTCCGCAATTTTGCAGCGCGCCCGATAGTTTTCTGCTAATATCTCCGCGAAAACACCACCAAAAACTATGGAACTTATATGGTTCTTTTCAGCTCGACTAGATGGTCCCAACGAGATCGGTGCTCGCCGAATCCGTCAAGTATTCGCCGAGATATTTGCGTAATAGACGGTATTGTCTATGAGTTCGAGCACGAGCGCTCTTGTAAAATTTGGTTGCAATCTGAAACATCACCACTAGAGGCCGCTAAAAGTTACGTAGAGCACCTTTAAAATGTTTGTTTTTTTATGAGAAAAAAATATTTAATCTAATATCTTAGATAAAATACACATTTTTGTCGTGTCCCCAGGTTTTCACTCACTTTTCACCCTAACATATTCCCCCCTCTGAAAAACTTGGAACATGTCACAAGACACATTTTTCAACAGGAAGGATCTGTATATCTGACATATCTGCCATATGTCATGTATTTGTCATGTATTTGTCATGAGTCCTCTGTTTTGTTGATTTAATATTGTAAACATTAGTTGATATACTATTCACCTGAATTATGAGTTTTAAGGTTGCAATTACTTAAATTAGACATTAGTATTAGTTTTACATTGTGAATACCATGCTTCAGGGAACCAGTCCACCACGAAGTGACTTAAACTTTTTGTCTTCGTCTTTCTTATATTTTGTAGAAGCTTGAGAGAACCCATACTATTCAGGTGCCAGAAACACCCACCCATGACATCCTGCAAGGGAAAGAGTGAAACACACAGAAACCCTCTCTTTTCCCTCTTTTTGTCTCTCTCTCCCTCACTCTCTTCTCCTCTCTCTCCTTCTTCCTCTTTCCACCTCCTTCACTGTGAAGTATTACTGGCACAGACAGAGTACCTACATCACTTCAACACAGAAATCTCATGCACACACAGTCATGTACACTCTCTCTCATACACATGCACACACATATGGACACTCATTGTTACCCAATGTTCATTCCTAATACCAAGTGTTCATTCCTGTTAGGCTACTCTTTTTTTTCTTTTCTAAAATAAATAAATAAAGGTAAACCACTGTTTTTGTCAGTTTTGTTTGGTCCATCATTTATAGAATTGTTTAATAAATTAAATTATTTTAAAAAATGGATAAACTTGAGGCTTTTTGGTCTTTCAAATGAAAAAATCGCTTTTTGTTTTTTTATTAAAATACACCTTTTTTTGTCACAAATATCAGTTATTTGAACAAATAACCAACAATGTCTTAAAAATAAACACTTAACTACGGGGGAAACAAAGGAATTAACTGACATGCTTTAAACATGCTTTTAAAATGGCACGTGAGTTTCGGTAACGTGACTGAGAAACATGCGTCTATTTTCTGCTTAGAAACCTTGTAAAAAAAATAAAGTTACCTGAGATTGACCAATACACATTTTGAATAGTTAAATGTGTGTAGTATTAGATTCATTGTTGAAAAAAATATTTAAAAATAAAGTTTAATTTTGAAGTTATACAACAAGCAAATGTCACCCATTCGGTGGAGTGGCCCGACAGCAGATCAAGTGTAAAATCAATGTGCAGTGAAATGAGCTCTACTACATGAAACAAGTTACTTATAATGTTGCTAAAGGTTAAGAAAAACCATTGATTGCCGTCCTGAAATACTCTCCCTCATGTGGAACACTAGAGTCTTTACAATAAGAGTTTTGCTGCCATCTGCTGGACAAATACAGCATTACACGCACATTCATTGCTGTTTTTTTAAAATAGGTTTACCTATTTATGTAGTAGATCATATTTAATTTATTTAATAAAAACACATCTGAATAGCTTAGCAACAATATAGTTTTAACTATGGTGTAATAAAATTTTATTTTTAGAATAAAGAACAAAACAGTAAATTCCACATGTAGTGTAATATTATGCATAATTTATCCAGAAACAATGAGATTAAAATGTTACATTTATTAAAATAATTCATGAAAAAAAAAATGCTACTTCTACTAAGTTTTCTACTAAGTTACAAGTGTTTGAAGTGATTAGACTTACATAAATCAGTCACCAGTCTTGTATCTCCTGTGTGCAGGTGCAGGCTTTGATGCTGAATATAACCTGTAGTGTTTTTGTATCACTCTCTTTTAAGTTGTGTGACTTTATCTCCATCCTGACTTATCAACTATATGAGTCTATCCTGAGTGAAGTGTCTTTTCATGGTGGAGGAGGAGTCCCGCTCATCAGCGCTCACACTTTATTGATATATATGGAGAAAATAAAAATGCTGCTTTGTGATTTGTCAGTGATTATGTTTGATGATTTCCTCTGTTGTGTCTAATAAGGTAACAGTGAGTGTCATTGGCAGCTGTGAGAGTCTCTCTCTCTTTAGAGGACTGACAGGAGCCAGTTTCTTCAGTGTGTGTGTGAGGGAGCAGAGGAGAAACAGAGTCAAACAAACAGTGTGACGAGCAGAAGAAGATGGAGGGATTTCTGACACTCGTTTTACTCTCCTCTATAGTCACTATAAACACATCTGGTAAGTACAAAATAAACTTAAGATGTAAAATATTACTTTTTTAAATAAGCAGTTTGTCTGTGATGGCATTAGACCACTAGAAACTGAAGCAGAATATTACAAATAGAAGCATTATAATATCTAGAAACTTAAGATCTTGTGACACTATATCATTCATTATTTACAAATGGTTTGAGCTTTTACTGGCAACCAATTTTTTATTCAATCATCCCCAGTTTTAATATATTATATTTACCAACTTTTTACATCTTATGTTTCTTGACTTTGGATGATTCGATCCCATTCTCTTTCTTTCATGTACAGATTTTGAGACTGTGAGGTTAGTTGGTGGGAACAGTCCCTGTGCTGGTAGAGTGGAGGTTCATCATGATGGTCAGTGGGGAACAGTGTGTCATTACAACTGGGATATGACTGATGCTGGAGTGGTGTGTAGAGAGATGGGATGTGGAGAGGCTGTAGAGGCTGTGCGTAATGCTCACTTTGGACAAGGATCAGGACCGATCTTGATGGATGATGTGAGCTGTAGTGGATCAGAGTCAACACTGAAGAACTGTGGATCATTAGGATGGGGTGTTCATTACTGTAGTCATTATCAAGATGCTGGAGTCATTTGCACAGGTGAGCGGCTCCATACATCACTCTGTTAATGCATCACTGATCAGACTTTCATTGATAAACATCTTATAAGCAATTGAAAATAATTTAATGTAATTTTTTTTGTCAGAGCAAATCATAAGCATGCTAATTAATGAATAGTATATTTTATTGTCTTAATAACGCAATTGTTTCTATTTATAAAATCTATTATTAATGAAAGGATATTATTTTATGTCCATATCATAATCCTAGTAACAGATGGTCTTATTGTGTAAATATATTCAGAAACAATAAACTACGGAAGGTCAAGCTTGTGTACGGGTCTCACCTGTGTTCTGGGAGAGTGGAGATGTTTCTATAGGCGGCTGGGCTTCAGTGTCTAACCGGCGATATTTATTTAGCCATTTTCCTACTAATTGGCATAATATACATGTTATTTATTTAAAACTTAATGTTGTTATTCATAAACAAACTCTTAAACCTACCACTCTAAATAAATCTATTTTGTATGGTTTTATTTAATACAAACAGATCATAAACAACCCAGACTTTCTGATGGGTCTCACCTGTGTTCTGGGAGATTAGAGGTTCTTCGTGGGAACACCTGGTACACAGTGTGTGACACTGCCTTTGACCAGCAGGATGCAGAGGTTGTGTGTAGAGAGCTGGACTGTGGAGCTCCTGTACAGGTGCTGGGAGAAGATGCTTTCGGCAAAGGAGACGCTCAGATGTGGACACAAGAGATTCAGTGCAGAGGAAATGAGTCTCATATATCATTCTGTTCAACATCATCTTTACACAAACACAACTGCACCAGTGGCAATAATGTGGGCCTGATCTGTTCTGGTAAATTATCAATATTCTGTCTCTCTTCATTCTTCTTTGTCAGCTGCACTATTTTAACTTCTCTGTTCTTTATTCAGGTTACACAGATCTCAGACTGGTAAACAGCTCAGACTCTTGTTCTGGAAGAGTGGAGCTTCGGTTCCTCAATGAATGGGGCTCAGTGTGTGATGCATGCTGGGATATGAGAGCTGCCAGTGTCCTCTGTAGACAGCTGAATTGTGGGATTGCTGTGTCTGTTGTGGGATCAGACTGGTTTGGAGAGGGAAGTAGTAAAATCTGGGCTGATGTGTTTGATTGTGACGGGAATGAAACAAAACTCTCAGAATGTTCCGTCTCTTCATGGAGTCGAGCTGAATGTTCTCATAGACGAGATGTGGGAGTCGTCTGCTCTGGTGAGCAAATTCACACCGTGATGAAGTCATTGTTTCAGATTAAAATGTATTAATGTAAAATGTATAAAATAGTATGTATTTTAGATAAATACTGAATGACAAATAAATACCCTCTCCAGAGAGTGAAGCTCATCTGAGGAACTGCAGCTCTCCACACACTCTCAACTGCAGCTCCACACAACAGCTGTCAATCAAAAACTTTGGTGAGAAAATCAACATCTGGGCAGATACTTTAGTTGTTAATGATAAATAATGTACAAGCACAGTTTTTCTCTCTCTGAATATCAGGCCGCGGGTCCATCAGGCTGGTGGGTTCTGGGGGAGACTGTGCAGGGAGGCTGGAGGTTTTTCACAGCGGCTCATGGGGGACAGTGTGTGATGACTCCTGGGATATTAAAGATGCCCATGTGGTGTGCAGACAGCTGCAGTGTGGAGTGGCCCTCAGTAACCAGCAGGTACCAGCCTGGTTTGGTCCTGGTTCTGGACCCATATGGCTGGATGAGGTGGAGTGTGAGGGGAATGAGACGTCCCTGTGGAACTGCTCTTCTCCAGGCTGGGGGAAACATGACTGTCAACACAAGGAGGATGTAGGAGTCGTGTGCTCAGGTAAACTGTAAAGTAATGTGATTGATTTTTAAATATACAATTTCAAATGTTTAAAGGGATAATGTGCAGCTGGTAATTATTGCAAAATAAACACCAGGATCATCAGGAGCGGATGGGTCACATTTTGCACCAAAGACCATCTTACTGTATCGATGGTCTGATAGTCAGCGCTGCCATGGATGCCACTTTTTAAATATATTTTTTTTATGGACCAAGCAGAATCAAGTAGTACAGTACATAAGATTCTTATTATATTATAAAAATATAATTAAGTATCTTTTTCAGATGCTAACAGTGCTAGCAGCATGCATTAGCCTTGTTAACCAGTTATTTTGGTGATATTTTAGGTTTAGCACAACCTAAAGTCCAATATTTTGAATGCACATCCTTTTCCATCTAGAGTTTAAAGAGATCAGGTTAACTGAGGGCTGTGAAGGGAATATGGAGGTTTTCTACAATGGATCCTGGGGAAATGTGTGCTGGAACCAGATGGACAGAGACACAGCGAGTCTGATCTGTCAAGAGCTGAACTGTGGAAGATCTGGTGTTGAATCCTCTTCTACACCAAGACTGGAATCAGCTCGTAACTGGCTGGATGAAGTGAAATGTCGAAAACATGATTCAAATCTGTGGCAGTGTCCGTCTTTACCCTGGGGACAGAACTACTGTAATAATGATGAAGTGGCCAAAATCACCTGCTCAAGTGAGATTATGTTTAAATAGCCTAAGATGATTTCAGTAGTTATGTTTCTTTAAACACAATGTTTGTATATAATGTGGTGAAATAAACTGTGTCTGAAGAACTAAACTTATTGAAGAACAGCCTAAAATGTCTTATGAGGCTTAAATTATATGTTTTCACATTGATATGTTTCACTGAGAGAAGTTATGATTTTTGTGTCCTAATGTTCAGTTCTCTTAATATTTAATCTCAGAGGAGGAGAATCCTGAGTCTCCTCGGAGTCGTCTGACATGTTCCACCTCTCCATCTCCTCACCAGAGACAGTGTTCAAGTAAGATTTTTGTCAATAAATGTGTTTAACATTTGTTAATTTAAGCCTGTTTTCCTAATAAATGATTAAAATGTGCATTTAAACAAGAATTTATTTGCATTTAAAAATCATAATCAAATTCATAAATGTAATTCACTAATCATACATTTAAAGCCGTCTTAGTTAAGTTTCTGTGTTTTGTTGTAAATGTTGTGCTGAAGCTGGTCAGTGATGTTGCTGTGTGTGTTTTAGATCATGTTCCTCTCAGACTGAGTGGAGGTTTGGGCCGGTGCTCTGGGAGGCTGGAGGTGTATCATAACGCTGTGTGGGGTTCAGTCTGTGCTGATCTGTGGGACATCAGCGATGCTCAGGTGGTCTGCAGGCAGCTGGGTTGTGGAGACGCACTGAGGGCTGATGGGAATTCAGTCTTTGGTGCTGGTGAAGGTGTTGTGTGGCTGAACAGAGTCGAGTGCAGAGGGAATGAGATTCACCTGTGGGACTGTCCTCTCTCCCTGAAGAACCACACTTACTGTTCCCACAAAGAGCACGCTGGACTCACATGTGCAGGTCACAGCAACACACTGAACAATAGTAGTCATTTTAATGCTAATAATCTTATATTTGCATGATTTTTAATGTGTTTGTGTCTGTTTTGCCAGATGTGTCAGTGTCCACTACTCCTGCCACAACAACATCAGCTTCTCCTCCAGTTTCTCAGACAGTGCGCTCAACATCAGTCACTCCTCCACAAACTCCTCCAGCAGCGTCTCTCTCTGTGCTTGTGGTTGTACTGGGAGTTTTGCTCTCACTGCTCTTAGTGCCACTGCTTATACTGGTTCAGCAGAACAGAGTGATGAGGAGAGGTAGGAGAGATCCAGAGACTGTCATATTGTGTCTTATTCAGTGTGTGATCAGTCATGTGTTGTGAACTGACAGCAGGTTTGTCTGTCTACACTCACAGCTCTCTCTAAGAGGAGACACAGGACGACGACTGAGGCCGTTTATGAGGAGATTCATCACAGACACAATCACTTCACTCAGAGAGGTGAGACATGAGCCGTGAAACTTATTTAATATGATTATTAAGAGAGTCTGTCAGACACTTGATGTTCATCTATTATTAGTCCTGTTAAACCTCCGGCTTTAAACCACAGAATTCCTCCCAGAAAACCACAGAGCTGCAGGTGCATGTGTGTGTGTGTTTGTGTGTGTGTGTGTGTGTGTGTATGTGTCAGTGTCAGTGAGTGTCTCTTCCTGTGAGTATTTTGAGGGTTATAAGGAGGGGTTCATGTTTGTAAGTAGGTGCAGGTGTGTTTGTGTGTGTGTGTGTGTGACTGTGTGTGTGTGTGTGTGTTTGTCTCTCCTCCTGTGTGTATTTCTGGAAGGCAGTGAGGGTTCATGTGTTCATGTGAGGATACATGTGTGTTTGCTAATAGGCCTAAAACTTAAGATTTCTGCCTCTAATGCTTTTAAAATGTAAGTAATTAATATTTGTGTTTTGTTGTAAGTAACAATGCTTTATGATCCAAAGAAAAAAATGAGGATTCAATCTGTTTGGAATGATAAACATGTTTTTGAATGTTCTGGTCTCCTTTATCAGGAAGTCTCATCTCTGAAGAACTGCATTCTGGGTATGAAGATGCTGATGAGCGTCTCTCAGGTTAGACAGCTGAAGAAGATTCAAATCAATAATTTGATTTACAATTGTAAAATAATTAATTTACATATTTTAACACTAATTCAACTGTTCACAATACTAAAACTTATTATATCTTAATAGAAAAAGAGTTCAAGACTGCATATTATGATGATGTCACCAATGGCAATGGCCTGAAAGGTCAGTTAACTGATCACATGATTCATTATTATTACCCTGCTGTGTCCCAATTCGGAGGGTGAGTCCTCTGGAGGTCGCATTTTAAGACTGCATACGTCATTGAGGCGGTCTCATTTAGGAAAAATAACCGTTAGATTGCAAAGTAAGAAAGAAATTTCCTCACGAGGATTAACAGTCAATTTTATTACTGTTAATTTTCTTAAATAAGACATCCTTGATGAGGTATACAGCCTTTAAATGAGACCTCTGGAGGACGCAGCCTCCGAAATGAGGCACAGCTAATATTCATTACTCAAAGCCTGCAACAATATATTTTACATTTATTTTGTTTCCCAAAAATATAAAAAAATTCCCAAAATATATATGTTTTGATGCAGAGGAAATGATGAAGGAAATCACACCGGGATACTATGATGATGTCATCACTGATGGACTGAAACCAGATCGTGAGACAGGTGTCGTTCGGTTATTCTATAATAGGAAGAAATATTTAAAATATATTAAAATCTGTTATAAATATATATATATATATATATATATATATATATATATATATATATATATATATATATACATTATATATTGTCTCATGTTAAATTTACAGAATACACACCTGAGAGCTATGATGATGTAATGACAAGTGGACAGAACTCTATCAAAAATGGTGTTTACTTTTTATTGTTATTGGTGTATTTACCATAATCCTTTTATAGTATTTATGATAATATGGGTTAACCTCATTACATTGTATAATGCAATGTTTGCGTCTATGTGTTCATGTGTAGTGGACACACCAGAGCATTATGATGATGTCATCATTAATGAACAGATCTTTGAAGATGTAACAGGTGAGAGTCACACAGAACTGCATTTCATTATCACCCTTCATCCATTAACATTTAACATGTATTTAATCCATTAATGAATCATCATGACTTTATCAGGAATAAGTCTAATTATCTCAGACAGTCATGATGAGGGAAAGAGATCAATGACATCATTAGTGACACAAGCTGATTTACAAACTGCAATATGAGGTTTTATTTCACATGTGAATCAGAGGGAGATCAGGAGGAGTATGATGATGTGAAGAACAGAAATGAAGATGAGAGAAACCTGTTGGGTAGGTTATTGTAACATTTCTATACATTCATTTTTATTTGTTATGTTTCTCATTTAAACTACATCTTGATGTAATTATTACAATGAAAATGATCAGTTTGCTTTTGTTTTCAAAAACAGACTATGATGATGTGGAGGAGGAGTCAAGTAAATGAGGAGGAGCCATGTGACTCACTGACCACACCCACTTTCCTCTTCATCAAATCATATTACAGTTACTGGAGATATGGGGTTTTCTTAAACTGCTGTTAAAGATTCGTGTTTTCGTTATCTGACATATTTTTGTATAACAGGTTACATGCATTGCAACAAATTTTGTAGAATTTGTATTTTAATATGTGGCCTATTATTTTTTATTTTGATATCAATATTTTTTACCTAATAAACAAAAGATACCATTCATTCATTACGTTTGTCACAAATATATATATATATATTTAAAAAGCAGTTAGAGGAAAATGAGAAAATGATGCAAAACACTATAAACGTTTAAAGTTTGTCACAAATATATATATATATATTTAAAAAGCAGTTAGAGGAAAATGAGAAAATGATGCAAAACACTATAAACGTTTAAAGAAGTTGAAAAAAAAACGGTTATGCAGTTCAGCTGCTGACAGCATTATTTACCTAATATAATGATAAAATGGATTTACATCTTAATAGATTATTATTAGGCATCACATTTTTCCATAAATTTACTGCCATAGTATTTAGAAATAGTATTTATAGTGTACTGTCAGCTTGAATTAACAGGCTAAGTAAAGCAGAATTTAACCTTTAATTAAAAAAAACATATTACTGTAAAGACACAGTTATACGCTATGTAAAAAACACTCACCCAAACTGCACATTTTATTGTGTGGTGGTGCATTTTTACTTAAAAACTTTTTCAAGTTGTTTAAAGCATTTTAAAGTCTGAATTATTTGCGCTGAGCTTGAATCTTTTGCAGCAACAGCTCCATCTGCAGGTTGAGGTTAGGCTGACCCCTCTTGGTTTTTCTCTTCAACAGCTGATATGTTGCCATTTTCTTTTCCTTGTATTTCCTCATGGCCTCCTCACGCTGAGATGCGACCCTGGATCACAAAACCAGTCACAAGTAGCTCGAGTATATTTGTGGCAATAGCCAACAATACATTGTATGGGTCAAAATTATCGATTTTTCTTTTATGCCAAAATTCATTAGGATATTAAGTAAAGATCATTTTCCATGAAGATATTTTGTAAATTTAATACCGTAAATATATAAAATATTTATTTTTGTGAGTGAATGCAGCACAATCACGAACATAAATGGACAACTTTAAAGACAATTTTCTCAATGTTTCGATTTTTCCAGATTTTCAAATAGTTGAATCTCGGCCAAATATTCCTAACAAACCATACATCAATGGAAAGCTTATTTATTCAGCTTTCAGATGATGTATAAATCTCTTCTTTTTTTTATTACCCATGTGACTGGTTTTGTGGTCCAGGGTCACATATAAACATTGATCAGCGAACATAAACAGAAACTCAACCGAACCTGCTTGAGCTTCTGCCAACACTGATGTGTGAGATGAATGTTTATATGTGAATAAAAGCTTAAATGAAATTCATTCATCATATAATTTTCTCTTCAGAAAATTCAAACTAAAGTTTTACAATCCCTTTATGACCTTTTTGAAGCGTCAAAGTGGTAATTGTGTGGAGTGTCAATGGAGGGACAGATTTATATACACACATATCTCCATTTGTGTTACGAAGAAGTCTTGCGGGACTTTGGAAGTCTTTGGAACCACATGAGGATGAGTAAATGATGACAGAATTTTCATTATTGGGTGAACTATCCCTTTAATGACATCACAGGAGATTCATTAGGAAATGGAAAACTGTACAACAATTCCATCATACTGATTAAAAGGACTGCATAGGCTCTAGCACTGTATACATTTGTTAGATGTAATAATTTTATATTGGCCAGTTTCTATTGCCTCACCTCTTTTTTACATGCACGTTCCTCCTTCATTTTCTCATATTCTTGCTTTGTCTTTTGATACGAAGACATTTTATGCTTCCTTTGGATGAACGGGGTCTTGTGGGAGCTGATGACACAAATCAGGAATGTGGCTTTGCTGATGCAAATGGACTATTATTTGAATATAAAACACACACATATGTGTATATGTGTATGTATTGACTGTTACTGTACCTGTCAGACTGTGCTGGTTTATTAGATGAATCAGGGGTGGTAGTTTGGTCAGTCGTTGTGTTTAAGACGTGTTTCTCAGGAGAATGTAAAGAATCCGACCCCATGTTTAGTTCATCATCTGACTCTGTCTCTTTATCCAGTGCTCTTCCTTCACACCTTTTCTTCTTTTTCTCCTGCTCTTCTTCATCTAGTCGTTCTTTTTCAGCCGGGTACAGATGTCTGAGATGCTCGGGATATTTCTCCTCTAACTGGACTTTTGATGCTTGATTTTTCTTCCTCTCCTTTCGAAGAAGTTTGTTGTATTCATGCCTTATTTTCTCCTTTCTTTTGAAGGCAAACCCCTGACCTGATGAAGAACGAGACAGAGATGAGATTCAAACATACATTCAAATGTTAGTCCTGGATTATTGTGGATCTATTACGTTATTCAAATATACATTATTGCAATTTATTCAAAAATGAAATATATTTTCTTTAGAAAATGGTATGAACGTTTTTCATCATTAATGCAAAGATTACATATCTAATGCCTGTTTCCCACACACTCCGTGTGCAGTGTGTATGCGGTGCAGCACACACTATTGTGCTTTCACATATCTATCCTGCGTTTGCAGTGCGCAACTGATCCGCGACTGTTTACCACAAACACAACATTTATTCACTATTGTTATTTCAAATTCATAAAATTATCACCAACTTTTATATATAAAAAAGTTGTGTCAGCATTGCGATTCTCTTTAGTACAGTTATACACTCATTCATAGACGTATTTTACGTTTAAACAATACAAAAACAACGTATTCAATGCATTCCTTCTATATAGTTTTATATTAAGTTGATCAAGCAATTGGCAAAACATTTAAACACTTAGGCCTATGTTAAAATAGCAAACATTTTAAATTAAAACTTACACTTTAAAAAAAACCAGCCAACTCTCATTCAACCCCATTTACTTTTGCATTTACTTTAATGTTTATACATAAGAAATCTGTGCATAATGTGTTGGATATAGTGATGTAGACTTGAAAGCAAAGCATATGATGTAAATATTGTAGGATATACTGTGTGTGTGTGAGAGAGCACACCTCTGCAAGCATATCAGCCTCCTTTGTCTGCACTTCTCGCACATTCTCCTGGTCTGATTTGTTTCCCAGGAGCATGACCGGGATAGGGTCGCCTACGGCCTCCTGTATGCTGGTCAGCCAGGGGCGGACTGATCTGAAACTGTCCTCCATTGTTATGTCGTAGATGACCACCACGCCATCTGCCTTGCGGAAAAACTGCTTGGTAATGCTGCGATACCTGCAGAGCACAGTGACATTGCATTTTTTCACGCTGGATGTTTATCATCAGTGACAAGTGAGTTCATGTTTTGGTTGTGACAAGCTTTTTAGAGATGCTTTAAAGCAGGGGTCTCAAACTCAAATTAACTGGGGGCCGCTAGAGGTAGAGTCTGGGTCAGGCTGGGCCGCATCAAGTATTCCACAAAAAAATAGTATTCAAGTATTCCAAAAAAGGAGCACAACTGATCCAATCTTCTCAATATTTATTAACGTTTCTTCTGAACAGTTCCTCTGAATTTGAACATTCCTTTCTGTACATGATTGGTTCTTCATGAGCTGTCCTTCTGACAGTTGAAGTTCATTTTACAAACTTTCTTTGTCTATAACACATATTTGTGATATTTATATTTGCTTATGTCCTTTTTATTTTCTTTATACAACACATTAATGATATTGAATGTTTTTTTTGGAAGGCACATTTCCTTTTATTATACTTAGAAAAACAATTATTGCTTTTGAAATACAAATATTTGCAGTCATGTCTGCCCGTCTTATTGAATTCTTTGTATAGTGTCTCAAATTACTGACTGCACAAATCAAAGCAAACCTTCTTATGAACCTGTTGGACACATATTACAAGCTCAAAGTGATTATTCTCACATTGTTTTAGAGCAGGGTCTCTCTCCAACACGTCGCTCGCGAGCTACCAGTAGCTCGTGGCCTGATTGGTGGTAGCTCGCCAAGGGGCCGTTCACATATCGCGCTCACATATTTTGCGCGCTCAAGTTCGTAATTTCAAATGTAGGCGCGCGGCAAGCGCGCTCATAATTGAAGCGACGCGCTCATTTTTTCCAGGCGCAGTATGTTTGTACTTCGCGGTTGTCTATGACAACTATTGACAACAAACCCTCCGTAAGCTGTCACGAGACTATCTATGGTAGCTCATAAGGGATACATTTTTTTTTTTTTTTTTTTTTTCGCGGCACACGCAACGACGGGCCGCACTAACATTAAACTTTAATGTCAAGTAGGGGGCCACAAAATATCACCCCGCGGGCCGCGAGTTTGAGACCCCTGCTTTAAAGGATAACAGCACAGTCTGGGGAACAAAAATGAAACATACAAACTGAAGCTGAATGTAAATGTCCTAAATAAGAAGACATAAATGCAAAACTCTATCCTGTATGTTCGTATCAGGGCCTCACCTTTCTTGGCCTGCAGTGTCCCATAGCTGAAGGGCAACGTGACAGTCCCCCAAATTCAGAGTCCGCACACTATAGTCAATGCCTGAACAACACAACATAATTGAAGTTATAAATGTGCACTTCACACATAAAGCTAAATAAAAATATACACAACAAAATAAAGGCATATAAAATACTGCTGAAATCATGTTCCTTTATTAAAAATCAAAACATACAACAAACCATTACTGCAGTGAGGGATAATGGCCACTAGAGGTTACTGTTGAGTAATATTTCTGTGTGGAATATACAGGTGTTTTAAACACTTTAGCCACATGCTTATGATTGTCATTGAATTATAGAGCAAAATATCGAACCAAGTTGTATTTATTCCAAAGAAAGACAACAAAGTAACATTCACTAAAAATTGACTTGGGACCAGCTGTTTGAAAGTAACTAAAATGGCTGGGAAAAGTCCAGTGTTAATTGCCATTTTGGTTTACTTGTAACTAATACAATTACATTTTTTAATCAGAATTATTTAAGCATCCAGGTTGTTTATGGGCCACTAGAGTCCAGGGGTGAAAGCCTAGAAACTTTGATATAAAGTGAACTGATGGTGTTTGACATAATCTGCTGCGCAATGTGTGGCAGGCTTTAAATGCAGGGAGTGTGACTTCCCAAGCCCTTTCATGTGATGTTTCCTGCTTTAAGAAATCCATCTGATATAGCATAGTAGGTTTTCATTAACACTTACACATATTCAAACCCAATGCACTGAAACGCCTATTAGGAAGTAATACAATGTATGCACAATAATAATGCACAGACCATTTAAATCAAAACAAAAGAGATTGCTGTAATTCATCCTTCTGATCAAATAAGGTAAACTCCAGTAAAAGGGCAACCAATTTGCATTTACTGAAAATCCCTCATTGCAAAGTCATCTGTTAAACCCACTTGAACTGACCTGTCCACTCACCAACTTGTGCAAAGTTAAATTGTAAATTGCACATAGAGGGAGAGAGCAACTTACCCACAGTGGCTGAGGTGGCAGAATGAAACTGTCCATCACAGAAGCGTCTCAGCAGTGCGGTTTTACCAACACTGGAGTTTCCCACCAGAATGACCTTAAAGAGGCGTTGAGGGGATGCGGCAGCACCTTCTGCTGGACCCTGTAGCCAAAAACACACACAGTGACATCTTTAAAGTAAAGCTAACAGCTAGATGTGTTGAGTGCACATAAAAAACACGATTACACTTAAATGGGCCATAGTCTCGAAATCCACATATTATGTTATTTAAAGTCTCTTGCACTTTCACTCCATCTCTGATTTTTGAATTAAGAATTATTTGGTTTTAGGACTTTAAAATGTAAATGCATGTGAAATGAGGTATACTCAATGATATGTCCCGTCACTGACCTGCTGGTGGGTCTCCTTTCCGACAGGCTGACCCCGTGCAGACGAGGGCATGTTTCCTCTGATCCACTTCTTCTTAGACGGCTTCTTCAACCTAACTGGTGGTGGAGAGTCAGCAGAGGCCAGAGACGCATTGGACGGGTAGAGAGAGCTCGTCTCTAGATCCCCCTGAACTTCTTCCTCTCCGGCTCGCTCTTCTTCTTCCTCACTGAGCTGATGCAGAAGAAGGTGAGGGTCTCCTTGTAACAGGTGGGGGAGGTGGTCCTCCTCGATGGATATGACTCTGCGTAGAGGCCAACCATCCGGTGGCGCATCCTCCGCATCCCCTCTGTCATTTACACCTTCTGAGTCCCCAGACACCTTCTGAGATTGCACATCCACCTCAGGCTTCCCATCATCCCCTGCGGTGAAGGGTGAACATTGACTGTTTGCTAAAGAGGTGGACTTCCTGTTAGAGCGCTGAGTCACTTCCTCCTTATCAACTTCTCTGAAATGACAGTGAGAGGTGAGAGTAAATGTTTCCATGTTATTAAATCATGTACGTAGGTATTCGCATGAGAATATGTGAAGATGTCTCACTTTTTGACAGATGGTTTCCTCTCCGTGTATTTTATTGAAGCTGCGCTCAGTCTGTGCTTGCGTGAGGATTTCTTCATTGAATTGCTGCGTTTCTGTTGTAAATTACAAGGAGATATTCTGTTTATGATTGCTCTTATTAGTCAAAAGTTGGAACACACCCACTCATTTTTTATTATTAACATTTTCCACGTTTAAAACAAAATGTTTTAAGATCATAAGAAGCATAAATAAAAACATAAAAAAACTAATAAAATTTACAAAACCGCACAACCAAATTACAATAAAATGTACCTAAAATTAAAATGTAAGAATAAAAGAAATTATTTAAAATCGTAAACTTACCAGAAAGCTAATGTCTCGCTCATCTCGTAGATGTTTATTCATTTCTCTAAAAGAACAACATTTCATTTGAGATGTTTGTTGTTTGTCTACAGCATATGTAAGGATGTACCGAGCTCACCTGAGTAGATCTAACTGTTTCATCAAGCTGTGTTTTTCTCTCTGCAAGCCTTCTGTGATTCTGTACATCTCCCTGTGAGGGTAAAGCGCATGTGTGTGTATGAGAGACACAAAGACACTGGTGGGATTTCCGTGTGTACGTAATAAATGCCCAGACTGACATCTCTCTCTCCTGCTGTAGTCGAGACGCCTGCTCCTGCAGAATGCCCAGCTGCTCCTGAGCCAACTCCAGCTCCTGGCAGGTGTGCTCAAGTTCACGAGACAACTCCTCATTGGTCATTTTCAGTTTAACATTCTCCAGTCGACTCTCCTGTTGTTCGCTATGAAGGTCACGGCATTGTCGCTCTAACTGAAAAAAAAATGATATAAAACAGCTGTGAGTTGAAAAAGGTGTGAGTGCCACAGAAGTATACGATTTTGTATGATTCTGCCTGTTCATTTGTGGCTCTCACCCTCCTTTGTTTTTGGAAAAGCTGCTCCAAATCCTGTTCTTTACTACGGAGCCGCTGCTGGAGGTCCTGACTGCGCAACTGCAGATTTTCAGAGTCCTGAAACAGAGAATTAACATAGAATTTCAGTATTATTATTACGATACAAAATAACTGAAATGTATGAAGCTGAATTGTCTTGGGTGTCACATGATCCTTTAGAAATCATTTTAATATGCTAATTTGCTGCTCAAGAATAATTTCTAATTATTATAAATATTGAAAACAGTTGTGCTGCTTAATATTTTTGTGGAAACTGTGATACATTTTTTTCATAATTTTAGAAAGTTCAAATGTCTTTACTGACACGTTTGATTCATTTAATGCATCCTTGCTTAATTAAAGTATTAATTTCTCTCTCTTTTTTATATTCTCAACTGTATAGTGTAAAGGCACATGCAACAGTTCATAAGAATGTTTTTACCTTCAGAATTGCTTGATCTTTTTCATTAATGATCTGTTGCTCCATTTCCTCATATAATCTGCGAATTTCGTTGTCATGTGTGGCTGCTTTCCTGTGCAATGACAATGGCGTTCAATGTTAAAACATGCATTTAGCCTAATACAATCCAAAGATAAAACACAAACAAGTCTTTCATATTATAGAATTATTTTCCAAATTCTCACAGTATTACATTCCAACCACTGGCTCAGACCTGCAAATCCAGGTAATAATTAAAGGATCATAAGATTTCATGTGTATCTTTAAACAATGCATGTAGCAAACCACATCATTCTGACCTAGATTTGATCAAAATACATTTTATTCCCACCAGAAGTACTGTAAAAACCTGGGTAAACTTGGTGGTCACTGGAGGGATAAAACAGCATTCTATAGGGAATTACATTAAGCCTCTAAACGGGGATTATTCACAAGTAACATGGGGGGGAAATAAGAAAACAAGGGAGATTTTTGGCTCTTAAACATGCGACTTTAGATGGCACTGCTCTAAATTCATTCTCATTTCATGTTGCATAAAGAATCATCACGTCACCTTCTGAGGGTGCTCTCCATCTCCTTCCTCTCTTGTTGCGCCTCTTTGATTTGATATGTGACACGGGCCAGGAACTCTTCGAAGTTGGACAGGAGGTTAGGCTCATCCTTCCTGAGCTGAGTCCACAGGCTGCGAACCTCACTCGGGCTGAATTGACGAGAGAACTGTTACTGCTTGTAGCAATATAAAGCTAATATCTTATTGCAATGCCATGTGCAGTGGCAAAACATCAGTACTAACTCCTCAAACATATTGCTAGCACCCAAGCTCTCCATCAACACGCTGAAATGTCTCTCTTCATCATCCTCTTTCCCTGACAGCTCTTCATCCCCTGAGCTCTGAGAGGGTGTATTCATTAGTTCCTCAGTCTTGGAGACTCTCCGTCGGTAAAGAAAGTTACCTGGGGAACAGTTACAGATACATCTTGTAAAAGTGTGTAATTTGCTGTGCTATAAATATGTACCAAATAACAAATGATTTTTGAATAGATCCTCTTGACTGGAAGGAGATGATCATAAACTCACTGAATCCGGAGGAAAACTCTCCCATGGTCAGGTATCCATTTTTTTCCAGGTCTAGTGAGTCAAAAACATTCTCGAGTTCCTCGGCAGTGAGTGGCAATTCTTTGAGTAGCCTCTAAGATAGAGAGAATGATGGTTTATGATTAAATACTCAAGAAACAGATGGAAAAATGACATCATTAACACTATTTTCAACCATCTAGATATTCTGATAGCCTAACCCAACATTGTAAATAACAAAGCCTTTTAAACAGGAGGGAAAATAATGCAACTGTTATGGTTATGTTCTGTTTGTAGACTCTTATGTTGTTTCCTTTGGTTTCTGTGTTTCCTTCCTGTGTTTAGCTCCTGTTTGCTTGTCCTTTGTTACTATGGTTACTCATTGGTTAATTGATAATGTTCACCCGTGTCTTGTTTGGTTCCTAATTTAGCCTGTGTATTTAAGCTGTCAGATTGTTTCAGTTCATTTGTCCTGTGTTGTCTTTGAGGAGAAGCAGAAACTGTTACGTTTATCTATTCCTACGATTCCAGTGTTTTGGATTATCTTTGTTTTCATTTTTAAATAAAAGACTGCTACAATTTAGGTCCTCTTCTCCTCTTTCCTTGTTTGAACTGTAACAGACACCTATGCACCCACATTTTTTAATTAAAAAAAATTTGATGGCCATAGAAAGCTAAAAAATACAAAAACATAATTTGAATACAGAGCTGTCTAGTTATACCAAAGCCATGGCAGATGTAATATATATAGCCTATATATATTTAAATAATAATAATGAAAGAATGAAAATTTCAAGTGGTGAAGGACCTGTCAAGTTAAGGACCCCTACTTTACCCTCATATCAGTGCGTGTGATGAAGCCCTTTCCCTCGCTGTCACAGATCTGAAAGAAGTCCTCTATTTTCCAGCACTGTTTACCTTGGCCGTCTTTGAACAGGTCAGGATACAATGTAGGCGAGAGAGCACAACTGGGACGGAATCCAAAGCTAGATCCAATACAGGGAATTATGCTGATTAATTCAGGAATCATCATTTATTGTCTTGTACTGAATGCCTGCATGGGTCCCAGGCAGCAGAAAGAAACAGAGAAAGAGCAACACATCAGCAATCCTTATCGTCTTTAGGAATGTTAAGACTTTGAGAAGTGAAATGCAGATTAGTCTTAGTCATCATCACCCCAGCTAACAAAAAAACGTCCCCAGAACGTCCACTGCGAACGTCCCCTGAACGTCTTCGTGTAGGGTTCTTTAAACGTTTGTAGGACGTCGTGGGGGACGTTCGCGGGACGTCCCGAGGGACCTTCGAGGGACGTTTAGAAAACTTTCGGGGACCTTTACGGAACGTTCACTAGAAGTCCTTTTAACATCTTAAGACCCTTTTATAGTGTAGCATTAGTCTGATAACACAAAATCGAACAACCAAGGAACACACACACAACAAGGAATATCAGGAAACAAAAATACTTTTATTTTCATAAACAAAAGTTCACATGTGTCTTCAAATGCGCTGGCAGCTGTGTGTGTGTGTGCGTGTGTGTGTTTGTCGGTCAGCTGTGGGATTAATCCGATGGCAATTCTCCCCCTTTGGCCCTAAAACAACAAAATGAACATATTCAGTTATGATTTAATCCAAGTGAAATATAACGTTGTCTCATTTCAGCTACATTTAACGTTAGCTTCGTAGTGTTAGGCATAACGGTTATCAGCGGTACATTGCGGACAACTTCAGCAAACGTTTTAAAAGGTAACATTTTCATATAATTTAAAGACGGACAGTGGTTATGGTAACTAATTTATAATAACCTAAAAATTAAAAATACCTTTAGACAGACGACGGACAGAGAAAACACAAGGCTGCGTCTGAGGAGGACCGTTAACTGTCACTACGCTACGCAGCTGAGCGTTGCCATGGATACAAACCATAGACTGTGATACAAACCGCGTACATAAGGAATGGCGTCACTCGCTTAGGTGCATTTTGATCCTATGATTTGATCGTCACTTGCTTGTTTCTCCAATTTTATTTTTGTTATTTGATCTGCATGTGCTATCAGTCTTAAGTGCAATAATTAGAACAATATTTTTTCCTAAAATAAATTATTTTTAATAAAACCAGTCAGCTTCGCCTGACCAACAGTTTGGCAAGTAAATGTTTAGGATACTTTTATTTGCCTTACCTGTGTTATTTTTCCCTTTCTTTCCAGCAATTTTCCATTCTTCACGTTTTCCTTGGCTGCATTCATCATTTGAAGTTGATGCATTCTTTTAGTGCTCCTGGAACCTCTTCGTGCATGTGGAATAGCCTTTATAAATTGTAGCTCATATTAACTGAATCAATTATCATGTTTTTGATGTTTAAATTATAGCGGGTGAAAACAGACTCGTGATTTTATTACATCTTTAATTAGTGATACAATTTACACGAAGTAACATGAAAGTTATTATCTTAACATAAAACACTAACATTTTTAGAACTTAATTAATGCAAATATTTGCATTTATATTTTAGTTTAATTATTCGTTTGTCTGAGTTGCAAAGTGATGATAGCAAACGCATGGGCGACTGGATTTTGCAAGTGTTGTCATGGAAATGGCAGGTGAGGGACGAAATAGGGACGTTCGCAAAACTGGCCCGGACAAATGTCCTCAGAACGTCCGTCAGCGAACGTTATAAAACGGACCAAATGCGAACGATATCGGAATGTCCGTCAGCGAACGTTACAAAGCGGACCAAAAACGTCATCGGGATGTCCGTCAGCGAACGTTACAAAGCGGACCAAGTGCGGACGTCCTCCGAACGTCCGATCGGGAACGTTACAAAGCGGACCTAATGCGGACCTAAGGGGACGTTTGAAAAGTCCGGGGGACGTCCCTTGTTTGCTGGGACTGGCACTGCTGACGTTATTGGTAAGCAGACCACCACAATGTCAAGGGGGAACAGGTTTCTGTGGTAAATGTTCATGTTTGATCTCAAGTCGAACTTGCTAAGGGTTGAAAGAGGGGGTATCAAGTAGTTTATATTTTAATTTAAGCAAGAACCAATTAAAATGAACTTTTACATGGTTGACAGACAGATAAAGGTTGACAGTTGACACATCCTGTGTTTAACAATAAATAAGAGTTGAATGTTAGCGCTCTGTGTAATTTGTGACATTAAACTAAACACTCGATGAAATACTTATTTCATGAAGCCTCAAACTAAAATCCCATAGCCTGTACAAGGCAAGTTAAGTTCTTAT